ATTTCATGCTTTTTAGTGTGTTGCACTCATGTTAGGAACCTGCAGAGGAAGCTGAAGTGAACTTGTGCCAGTTTTTAATAAGCGTGCACATATATTTACAAGAAAGTCAGATTTTGTTCATTCCTTTTCCTGGGTCTAGCTTGGATGAATGAAGACCAAGTAAATACTCCCACTGCACCCGCGAGCACCCCCAGCCTCCCCCAAAAACCAGTGACACTCCCATAGGACAAGAGGATTTGTACGTGGCTTGTCTGAAACTGCTTTTGTTGACATCCATTTAGCTAAACAAGTCTATGTGGAAAGATTTTTACTAGACACTTGAAAAATCTACCCTTTCAGATATTTGAATTATTCAGGTAACTTTTTAGCAACAAGATAAAGTGATACTTCTAATTAGTGATGTTTTGAAATTACTGAGCCTTTGTTCTTTATATGTAAATAACAATAAAGACACTTGTGCATTGTATAGTTCTCAAATATCTTTCTGATTGCAAAGTGGTTTATAGACCACTTCTAACTAATCCTCCAAGCTCTGTACCGTTCAGAGAATGCTAAAGAGAAGGGTATAAAATTTAATAATTCATAGTTGTGGAAAAATGATCTTGGCAACTTTCATATGAATGTTCACATTAATTCTGTTGTCCTGGCTAGATCCCATCTTTATTAGATTATATGCTCTGTTTTAATCTGCTCGGTTTTCAGCTGGAGATCTATTTTTGCCTACCCTTTGTTAAATAATAATGATTGTTTGCAGGGCATGGCTGCCATCTCTAGCCATCAAAATGATTTTCTAGTGTAAAATTATATACATGCATAATTCTGGTTTTAAGCATGTTCCAGATCTTTAAAAGCGGACTACGTGTTTCACTTACCAGGATCTATTTGGTGCTTCTAGACCCAGCAGAAATACCAGATGAATTAGTACAAATCAGTTAGCTTTTGTACGCTCTTAAATTTCAAACTTCCACTGGCTCTTCCTTGCGAAATCTGAAATTTTTAGAGGCAGGGGAGTTTGTATGCTCATAGATGAGCTTTTGGAAGCCTAGTCTTCAATGGAAAGCTGCTAAATGAGCTCATTTAGCAACATGTTTTGCATCATTTGTAGGGTAAGTACATCTAGAAATAACATGCATGAGAATAAAAAGATAGTGAGAAAATGTATAAGAAGATCAGAAAAAGCCAGAAACTTCTTTTTGGATCTCCACAGAAAACATTTCTCATCTCCCATCTTCCCATCCAATGTTTTTGTTCTGATGGTCCGATCTGCCCTGCTGTGTTTCCCCGTCCCTCCTAGACGAGCCCCCGGACCAGCAAGCAGCTTCCCTTCTGACCCCAGAAGGGCCACAAGCCCCCAGCTTTGTTTTGCGAAAGGGCATGAGTAGCAGCCTAAATTGGTGGTTGTTTTTAAAGTATGGTAAATAGAGTCTTTATGGAGCTATTCGCTTTCCTTTCCATGTTTTACTGACCTCTGCTTGAATTGGCTGTCTCTGGTTTTTCAGCAGCTGGAGGGTGGATTTTGGTGTCCCTCCGTCCGGGGCTGGCTCCTGGCGGAGCAGTCGGGTGGGAAGCCGTCGCTGGGGTGTTGCGAGCAGAGTAGCAATTGCCGAAACTTAACTGTGAGCTAGGAGATGGAAGCAATGCTGGTAACCGCTACAGACAGCCCTTGTAAAACTTACCGTGTTCTTCACCGTGGTAGCCTGGTATTTCCCCTGTTGGTCACGGCCTGTTTTACAGCTTGTTGTGTGTGTGTTAAACTGGTTCTGTGTGGTGCTCGTGTAGCTTGTTCTTGTCTTTTCTTAATATCATGCTGAATGTAAAGACTCAAATGCTTTATTTATAATTGGCTGAAATATGTCTGTTTGTAAAGGTTAGACATGCTTATGGTAGCGCACACTGAATTGTGCAGTTTGTGTTTAAATTTGCTCTTTTTCAGGTTGGCTTCCAAGAGGCAGAATTGCATCCTAATACTAGCTCGAGAGTCTTGCTGTAGCTATCTTTTAGTTATGCACAATTCTGAGTAATGTGGCTTCTTGAGTGTGCTGGTACATCTTTTTCCCCCCCTCTTTCTTTACTGCTCAATATGTCAAGAGTTTTGAAGTCTTTTTAAGATTGGCTGCTGGATCATCTTTCTCTAATTAACAAGTTGTTCCTTCTTTGCAATTTGGCAGTGCTGCCAAGGATAATCACAATGATTGCTTGTACACAAAAGCAGTGTATTGAAAACACTGCCTGTGTATATTAATGCTGTTCTGCAGTTAAGAGGAGATCAAGCAGCCTGTGATAAAGTACATCTCTGATCACTGGGGACCATTGATCTATCAGCTCATAGACTTTTGCTTACAGTTATTAAGATGAGTGCATAAGACGTTAATAGCCAAGCATAAGAAGAAATGATGGAGGCCTTCAATTTTTGTTCTTTGAGTTAAATTGACAATATTTGAAAACAAACGAGCAAAAACCCCACCGCAGCCTTCCTGCTCACCTCTTTCAGTTTAGGTGAATTCTAGGTAAGAATGAATTCATTGACTGTGCAGGACCCAGTTCTTATTAATGCTTTTTGTGTGATTTTTCTTTTTTTTTTTTTTTAAAAGAGTCTGAAGTGGCTGTTTCTGCTGCTAAAATGTTTCGTTCAAGCAGAGGATATTTAATGTCATGTGAAAGTGCTAGAAATACAGCTCTTGAAAGTGCTAGAAATACAGCTCTTGAAGAAAACTTGAATTCTGGAGGCTTCCATGTCAGCACTGAAGTGTATACTTCTGCATTTTCTGCCATTCTGATGTATAATGCTTTAATTTGGCCGATGTCAAAAGCACGATGAAATTGAATGGAGAAACCTGAGACTCGTTTTCCAAGGTCACGAATTGTTAAGTAGCAAAAATAAGTTTTGGATTAATATCAGCTGGTAAAGAAGAGGGGAACTGAGTTTTAGGATCTCTTGCTGCTTTGGTCAGTTATTTTGTTCCTCCCTTCTTCTAGCACCACACGAAGTGCGTATTAGCTGTTTGAGTCTACCTCTAAACTGGGAACGCTGCAAAACCCAAGCAGGCAAAATGTTGAGCAGCTGCAAGGGGCAAAGATGACTTGGGAGACTTGGTTTTAGATTTTTGTTGTTGTTAACTGCTGTTTAACTTCTTTGAGTGATTTAAGTCCTAAATGAAGGTAGCTTGTGTTAAACATTCAACGGCCTTGTCCTACGATTAAAGATGTTGCAGTTCACAACAAACGTTCCCGAGACTTTCCAGAACTTCTCTAGTAAAAGCAGAATTGAAATTGCTAAGGTAAAGCAATCAATTCATGGCAGGAAAATAAAAGCAAAGGTTCAGGTCACCTTTAAACATGCAAAAATGTGAAATAATAACTTTAATTTAATGGTCTGACATGCAAGGGATTGTTTAACTTGGTCAGTTAATTTCTCTTTTGTCGATTACAATATATAATACTGACCTTGTCATTTACAGCCAACGATAGCTGTAAAATACGTGCACACAAATATTATAAAAGATTTTCATTGCTTATTGTAAACATTGTGTTTATACTTCCTGCAGATTCTTACATTGTCATATTATAGTCATATTCTGTCATCTTAAGACTTGCATGTTTTTCCTTGAGAAAATAAATTGAGAATTTATTAAAACCAAAATAGCTGGTGGATCCTGTAGGCCTGAGTGTCTTAACTAAACATTAAACTAAACATGTTCCATTACAGTGGAACATTTTATTAATAAATGTATTTTAGTTCCCGTTTGTGTATTTTGGGAAACGCTCAGGGTATACCTATTATGCTAATTGTATAGGAAATGATGGGAAAGAAAATGAAAGTACATGAACATAAACAATACTCCAGAAAATTTAAGTCTTTTAAAAATATTTACTGCTGCCAGTATTTTTGCAAAAGCTGTTTTTCAATGAAGGTTGTTTATTCTTGCCCACATAGTTTTAGTAGTGGTGTGCCCACAGGTCTGAATAATGAAAAACGTATTGCAGATCACACAGTGGCTGTTCTTGGTGTATTTTGACTGCGGTAATTGCTCCGCACAGTAACTAACAAATGAACTACCTATCGCTGTTGCATGCAATAAAATTTACAGGTCTTGTAGCATTAACATACAAGGTAATGTAATGTAATTTTGTGAGTTTGCCGCTGTTGATATTTATACTAAGTCAATGTCTATTCTGTGGTTGGTTCTGACCTACCACGTGGTGCTTTTTAACAAAGTATCTGAAGTGTCACCCCAAAGTACTCACTCATCTGTCACTCAAGATTGAGTTGGGAAATGTATTATAGTAAAACAAAAAATGATAAACTTATTGACCGTTTAATACACAACATAGTCATTGGAGATGTTTAATGTTCTTTGGTTTTCAGCAGGTGCGTTAATTGTTAAGTATGGTTTGTTCTGTTACAGAGCTCTGTAGCACAGAGTTGAAGGACCTTAAACCCAGATTTCTTATTTAAGTTGTGCATATTTCATGAGATGCTTGTATGCTATATACTTGTTGCATTTAACTCTATAAAAGATTCTCTTCTTGAAGCACCTAGAGGAGTTGTATATATTGTACTTCTCAGTCACTCTGTTAGCTTTTGCAGGCTAATCCACGATCTTGTGTGTTAACTTTTTTTTCATTTCCTTGTTGATGAGGTTCCCTAAATGCTTTTTTTTATTTAATATCAAAGACTTATCTACAGTTAAGTTACCGTGACTGATAGAAAGTCTTGAGCTGAGTTGTCTCCTCTTTGCTGTTTTCTCTATCACTTTTTAAATATATAGTTTATATATAAATATATAGCTTGTTTATTTTATTTTTATTTACAAAAGGCTTTAAATAGCACATTTCTTGTTGGCTTTGAAATTGTTTACAGAAATGTGTCATACAGTTGTTCTTGCTATTAAATTATTTTTATGTATATGTATATACGTGTATAGACACTTCAATGGAAAGGTTAGTTTCGATTTATTCTGTTTGTTGTTTTTAAAAATGATATTCTTGTTTTCTTCTAGCATCAGATAATAGTCAGCGATTTCGAGAAACTTGCTTTGCGTTTGCACTTACACCACAACAGGTGCAGCAAATCAGCAGTTCAATGTAAGTGAGTTTTGTTGATAGTACAATATTTAAACCCCCCAAAAGAATGGGCTTACTGTAACTTTTACTTTAAAATGTGATCTTAAAGTACACAGAAGAGTGCATAGTGCCTCAGAGAATACTCTTTTGGGCAATTCTTTTCTCTTTTGTATGTGAGGTGATGGAAAGGGAAAGAACAAGGAAGAGAGAATTAATAACCACTGCCCAGTGAAGAGCGGACAGGCTTCTTTTGTACTACCTGCTGTACAAATAACATAACTCTCCTCCTTGCAGCCCTTTGTCACTGTTAACACAGGAATTGGCTGAGTTCTATATTTACTTAGTTTAAAGATGTACCTAGTGACCCATCAGAATTTTCTTTACAGTATACCAAAAGAAGAGAATGGTAGAGGTGAGATGAGAATGTAATTGAATTGTTTACTCTGAAAAATAAAATGTATATATTTTTTAATGTGTCTTAAGGGTGGTGGTTTGACTGACCGGGGGAAGGAAAGCGTGGTATGCAAAAAGGTTCGCACGCGCACGCACGCGCGCACGCACACGCGCGCACACGCGCGCGCGCACGCACACACGGATCAACTTATAGCAAACTCTGAGAAAGCATTAATGATCCTACTATATAAATAACACATCTTAACCTGTGTTTTGTCTTTGCCAGGGATATTTCTGGGACCAAATGTGACTTCACAGTACAGGTCCAGCTAAGGTATGCATTCATATGGCCTATTCTTGTACAGGTCCAGCTAAGGTATGCATTCATATGGCCTATTCTTGATGCTGCCGTTTCCAAATATTTTGGAAACGTAAAATATCAAATATATGCTGCTCAGCAAGTCTATCTTACCTTTGTGGAAGATAGTCTCATCCTGCTTTCTGTTATCTTGAGAAAAGTTTGTTGTGGGAGATTTCAGCTACTGGCTGTTTTGGAAAGGGCAGACTTAACTGCTTGTCTTTGTTATATGCAGCTTTCCTGAGGCTCCTGATGGCTTGATATCTGGCATGTCAGAAAAATGCATGTACTGCATGCTATAACCAACTGATTTTCTTCAATTCATTGTTTTAGATTGTGCGTATGCTCCTTTCTTTAACCCCAAATCTGTCAGATTCCAGGTGTCCTGGCCTTCAGACCCCATGTGCAGGAAGGGTTGTTTTTCCTAACAGAGATGCCAAACGCTGTATTTGCTGGGCGTGGCAACCCAAGGTCTACTTTCCTGCTAGGAACGGGAGGCAAGATTTTGCGAATCACCAGGTTTAGTCTTAACCTGTTGGTTATTTAGAGGTTTTGACAAACTTATCGGAAGCTGATTAAATCCTGTATATCCCTGTAATTCTCTGTAAGGATTTGAGCAGACCTTACAGTAGAGCTGACTTTGCAGCTTGCCCTTGTCAGAAATGGCTGTCTTGCCTTCCATCCCTCTGCTTCTGGCTGCGCTATCTCACTCCTCTCTTGCACCGATTCTGGTGTTTGCACAACTACATGGTGAGTTGTTAACTCTGCAGACAGAAAGCAAGTGCTTTCGGGTCTCGTTTATCAGGTTAACTTCTGCTGATCAGCAAGTTAAATTGGCTTAGTGTGGGGTCAGGTGAACAGAAGGGAAAGGGAAGGAAGGAGAGAAAACAAGGACAGAAGGTAACTCCCCTTTTTGAGGGCAGCGGCCTGTTAGGCTCAGCTGCGTTGACTAGCTATACCCTGATATGATGGTATGTTTGAGCGCCTAGGGCAGGTCCCTGGAAGAAATCCAGTGGATTTGAGAAGGTCCTTTAGGTCTGTCCTTTGAAAGCCCATTGTCTGCAGTGTTGGGCCTATCAGCACTTCATAGTGCAAGGGAGGGTGTGTCTTATTTTGGCTCCAGTAGCAAATAAACCTTTGAAATAGCATTGTCGGAAACTGTCTGAACTGAAGTAAAGGGCCTGACATAGGGTTTGATACTGTAGCTGGCTGGCTTATGGATGTTCGGAGGAGGGATAGTTGAACAGACGGCATGTATTGTTGTTTGTGAACAACCAAGAAGGGGTCAGGCAGGAGGAGTAGGGGGAAAGAAGCAGAATGGTCTATCTGGTGTAGCAGGAACCTGCCTGCTTGAACGGTTCTGCTGTTAGACAGACCCAGCCTGAGGAATTTGAGAAACCTGAAGAGGAACCTATGGCCCCCTTAACCCACACCTTTTAATTTTGGGGGGATTTCCTGCTTATTGAGCCATACAGCTAATTTGAGGACTGTGTTTAGCAAGATTTGGTGTGGTCTCACAGCTCTTTTGAGAAAGCTTCCCTCTAGGAATGGGTGGTCTCCAAGACATTTTACAAATGAAAGGTGACGGAAGCTCTTTGCTTTCAGGTTTTGTTTATCAGAGACCAGTTGTCCACAAGAAGATCACTTCCCACCCAATCTGTGTGTGAAAGTAAATGGGAAACCATGCAGCCTTCCAGTAAGTAAGATATAATTTGGATTTATATGACTGGGTAACATTGTTATGAGCTATCTGCCAGAAGTGTGCCTGAGCATTCATCCTAACCTTTGTTTTCACATTTTGAAGGGTTTGAATGGAGGTGGCTGGATGAATGAAAAAGACAGTTAAGTAAATTGTTTCTCATGAGACCAGCCAATAGAGCTGGAAGATTAATTTTCTAACAGAGTGAGAGTAAACTTTTATGTTCTAGAAACATCTGGTGAATCTGGCTGAAATGGCACCCTGTTTTGGAGGTCATGTGTGCGGGGAGAAGACCGTCACTGACCAACAGGACAAAAGAGAGACACTGACTTACAGTACTGGGGCGCTGCACAGGGTTAGCTTGGGTGTTTTTAGCCAGGCGGCTTGGCTAGGAATACTGCCAGCAGAGAAAGGCGAGGAGGTGACAAAGGCACCCCTGATATTCCAGCAGGCGGGGTTAGGATGTTGTGTAAGGAAAAGGACTTGTGAAATAGCTGGTATTGTGCTGTCTGTCATGTATATTTTTAAATTGGAGAGAGCCTGGTTCAGGTGGAACACAGAGCTTTTATAGGGGCAGGATTTCTGGGGGAGGGGAGAGAGAAGGCAAGAGCACTCTCTCTCTCTTTTCTTTTTTTCCTCCTTGTTTTGAGTTAAAATAAATGATTTCATTTCTAGGGCTATCTTCCACCAACCAAAAATGGTGTTGAACCAAAGCGACCTAGCCGACCAATCAACATTACCTCACTCGTCAGATTATCTACGACGGTACCAAACACAATCGTCGTTTCGTGGACTGCAGAAATTGGAAGAGTAAGTCACTTTATTTGGTACATAATGCTGCCTAAGCTTATTAATTTCTGTTTTGGCATATGTTTGAAAGACTTGACCGATAAGCAAGTTTAATTGTGCAGAAAATACTTCATGGTTTAGCAATAGGCTGTTCCTTCTTTTGGTTGCATTTCTCTGTTACTTTACGCCGGGCAGATACGGCACGCTTCCCTGGATCAGTAGCCCTCAAATTTTTTCATAGTGTGACCTCTCCCTCTTCATCCCCCCGCCCACCTACCTATCTTTGTGACTCATTGAGGGCCCAGATAGTAGGTTCAAGAAACTTTATATAAGGAGTTTTTGTTTAACTTTAGACTTCAAGATTTTCCCGATTTTGAGGCTTGGCAAACCTTATCTTGGATTCAACTTTTAACTGACCTACTAACGTGTGACGTTCTGTACAAACTGGTGTTGCTTAACCCTGGAAAAGTAGACAGCAAAGCATAGCAACTCAGTAGTGTCCAGGAAATATAGCTTGCCTGTTTCATATTTTGTTCTCACAAACATCCATATACCTAATGTTAAAGAAGTCATGTTTTTAGAACCTTTTTTTGTGTCTGAGGGGATTATAAAATTGTTGGTGTTCCACTGGACTAATGAAATCTGGAACAGCCTGCAAAAAGTCACGTCAAGTTGTTCCATGAATCAGTGCATCGGCTCTCACTGGTGACAAACTACTGCGAGATATACATTACAGAATCAGTGCATGCTTGAAAAATTGTGGCTTTGTCATTGCAGCCATCCTCTTTCTTGAAGTCCTGAGAATTATCCTGAGATGAAACTTTTTCCAAGATCTTGGCTGTGCACAAAGCCCAGGGTTCTTGAGCCACAGTGGGAAAAATGCTAATAGCCCAACTGCACCCAATAGCCATATATGAAACATCATGCTGCTATTTCTCTCCTTCCCTGTCACAGTGAATTTCTTGTCAAGTGTGAAAGAGTCTCCATTCAGGTTATAGAATAAATGATTTCTGAATACTTTCTTTTTTAAAGTCATCTTTTATCTAACAAGAACTGCAGGTATCTGAAATAAGCATTTTAAAAAAATTTATTTTAAGTTACGTTGCGGAAGTGGTTGCACACAAATTGATGAATCCTGGTTATTGCTGTGAATGCAGTGCTGTGCTTTTGCTTTAGAATACAGATAAGGATTTAGGGAAAAGAAATGTCACAAATCTGCATGGACTCTAAGCTACGCTGTAGTGAACTAGCTGTTTTCTCAGGCTGCTTAGATATTTCAGTTATATAAAACCTACTGGATACCTTTTAACTTATAATACATAGCTGAAGGTAGTGGCAAATTCTTAGTGTCTGTCGTGAGAATGATGTGCCAGTCAGAACATCCCCACTCATGAGAAGTAATGCTTCCTAATCTGATTGTTTGAGATCTTGACAGTTAAACGTGAGGAATTATTTTATTTTTGGATGTGCCTGTAAAGTATAAAATTTGAATTCCCTATCCCCCCTTCCCTGAAGAGCCAATTGCTTGTCTCAACTGGTATGCTCTACCTTTCCTGAAGTCATAATTGTGGTTTTTACACAATCTGTTTCAAAAGCCTTCTGTACAAGATGCCTTGGGCAAGTTCCTAGCTTTGTAGATTCAAGCTGTTGGTAAATAATTTCACAATGTTAATTAGCATTTTTTCTAACTTCTATACTAATTGAGGCATTAAACAAACAAGTTAAAGCAGTAGTGTTTTTTAACGATGTGAGAAGTATTCATTTTAAGAATAAAATATTTTAAAATGTGATGTGATTTCAATTTGTGTGATTTTTATGGTAAGATAAATTGCTGAAATCCCTTCTTCATGTTCTGGCGGCATCCTAAATAAAGAATGGTAAATGTCACAATTGTATGGGTTTTTTTTTTTGGCTGTGGTTTTGTTTTGTGGAAACATACTTGAGAGTTGCTGGAGTGGGGCAGAAGAAGCCCTAAATTTTTCAATTTAAAATGTATGAATGTAGTTCCAAATTTAGCCATATAAATATAGCTATATGTGTGCTCTGTAGCGAAAGGTAATTGATACCCCCTGATGTGAGAGCGTAAATTTTGTCCTTGCTGCTTGTTTCCTGGGGGTTTGCTGGTGGTTGCAGAGTACAATACCACATTTTTAGAAAGACAACATTTTTATAGAAGACAAATGAGAAGTTCCAAAATCTAAAACTGATCTGAAAACCTTTTGTGATGTCAGCAGGAGCACTCTGCCAGCCCTGCTCGGTCCCTCTAGCACGAGCTTGCCGTGGTGGCTGGGGAGCAGGCAGGGTCGGTGCGCGTGCGTCCGGCTCGCTTGCGTGCCGAATTCCCGTCTGCAGTGGCAGAAGTGAAGATCCCTGGCTTTTTGCTGACACAGATAACGAACATTCACATCATCTGTTCTGCTGAGTCTGAAGAGGGAGAAGTAGCCTAAGCTCAAGCAACGGGAAGGACAGGCAGTTGGGAGTGGTAATTTCTTGCCCACTAGATTCACTAGAGTACATCTTGACCCCACTGAACTCTTGAACTCGTTAACTCTGATTTCTGTTAAGCTTCAGCAGTCAAGTAGCTTTAGCATTTCATGGTCAGTACGGGAAGATAAGAAAAGGAAGGTTGGACAGTGCTTCCAGATTGAGTAGGGAATACTGCAGAGGATGCATCTTTTTAATTACTGCTTTTGAAGAGACACCACGGTTGATTTTCATTTTTTGGGGGGGGGGGGAAGCTTTATGAAAAGTTTTGATCAAATTTGCCCTGACAGCTTCCCTTAAACGTATCAGCACAACAACAGGATCTAACATTATTTATGTAAAATCACCCTTTTAAAATGGCCTGTAGGCCACATGCCCCAAGTTAAATACAAAACTTGCAGAAGTGTCCTAATGTTGTAATAGCAGAAGGAAGAGCTGCTTTTGCAGTTAGATTTAGTCTCAGGGAAGCCTGTCACTTTTGTCACGTCTCTAAAACTCCAGCCCTGTGCCCTTGCTAAAACATGGTGGATTTTCTCTAGTCTGAGAACTTTGCCATTTAACATCTTATAATTACTGTAGAGACACAAGGCCCTGTAATCACATAAATTGCATAAGCATTGTATAAAATAAACGATATTTTGATTGACACAGTTTGAGTTTTGTTTTGATCTTTGTTCTGTTTTGCAGAACTACTCCATGGCAGTCTACCTCGTAAAGCAGCTGTCCTCCACGGTTTTACTGCAGAGGTTGCGAGCCAAAGGGATTCGGAATCCTGATCACTCTCGAGCACTAAGTATGTCTGAAGTCCTTGTTAGCCAAAAAGGGAAAAAAAAGCTTTTGTGAAAGGAGATTTGAAATAGCACTGTACTAACCGAGGTTTGGACTTCCTACAATTCTCTGGGTTTTGAGAATCTGATAGTGCTGTGCTTTGTATTCAGCTGAAATTCAGAGCCTCGGAGGCCTTTGTTTGTATTAGGAGCTAGTCCAGGAACCCTGTTGACACTGTGAAGGGAAAAATGCGAGAGAGTCTCTTTCAGTTCAGTTCTGCTGGTTGTTTCTCTTTAAACAGAGCAACGATATTTATACAGTTAACTGATAATTCAGTGCCTTGAACAAGCCAAGCCAAATGGCTGATATTGAACTGCAGTACTGACACGCTGGAGGAAGGTCTTCATCACCGCTTTTTTTTTTTTCGGTTGTTCCTTTGGCACAGTCTAGTGGAGCAAGCTCCTGGAGAGACAGTCTAGCTTGGTACCTCCCCTCCCCCAAGTCTAAGTGCAAGGTTTGCTTCTTTGTTGTTTCCCTGACAAGTACACATTGGTGTAAGTTTATGTAATCAAAATCCAAGCAAACACTGCTGCATGCGTTTCTTTTCCAGGGAGAGGATGAAAAAACAAACACCTGACAGCTGTTGGTCGTACTCTTTAATGTCTAATTGGGAGATGCTCAGATAATGTGTATTGTACACTGTACAGGGCCTTCTGCGGAAGGGAAGAAATTAGCTCACTAATAAAGGCAGTGCTGCAAAGCCAGTGTATTAAATTGTGTTGCATTAACCTGATGGGATGATTTCAATACACAAAAATCTAGAGAGGAGTTTCCAGGTGGCTCCTTCTCTTTGTATACAAGGTAACAATAAGGGTGTATTTAGCGTTCATAGAGCAGCTAGAATGTGGAAGTGACTTGTTCGTTTAAACAATGACTGCTTGTAGAGCAGTCTTTATGGACAAAAATCGAGGATGAGTGGGGATGAAAGTCTTCTGTAGTGTTTGTATTTCACTGCAGTGCTTTAAAGCTCTAATTTTGTCAGGGTATCTCTCTTACTTTCCTATTTCCCGGTTAGTTTTTTCAATTTTAAATGACTGGAATGTTTGAGTGTTTCAGAGATTTTACAGAAGTGCCTGTCCATGTGAAGGTTACTAACATGTTAATATTAGGGTTTTTTTTTTTTTTTTAAAGTGCCTGAAGTTAATAATGGACAAGTTAATATGGCCGATCTTTCTGACAGATTTTAAATAACTTTCAAGTATGTAGTTGCATGTATATGAAAAGAGTCATCTTTGTATAAATAATTTTTCAAAGGATCTTGGTTTAAGAAGAGCTTTTCCTACTTCTAGCTTACTTAAATGTTGTAATTTATGATCTTCCTAGAAAGTAAAGATTGCTTAGATTACATGCTTACTGTGGGAGTGTGAAACTACTTATTACTACTTGCTTCCAGTAGACCTGGCAAACAGTTTAACGCATATAGTTTTAGGCTTGCTTTACTTCTCTAACATCCAATTTGTGTCGTAAATTAACTATAAAATTTATGTTTTCTTCTTTCAAATAACAGTCAAAGAGAAACTGACTGCAGATCCAGATAGTGAAATAGCAACAACAAGCTTAAGAGTTTCTCTTCTTTGTCCAGTAAGTATTTTTAGTTCTCTCAAAGCTGATTCTGATAGAAGCGTGCCTGTTCTGGGACAAGTTTTCAGTAGATGTTAGCTTGGGTTTACTTACGTGTTAACTTTGGGGATAGGATCTGGTGCCGAAGTTATCTAACAGTGTGCTTAAGCACGTGACTTGCTCCCGAGCAGATGAGTATTCCATTAACTTGAAAAAGCTATTCAAAATTATATGTAAGCGTACATTTAAATCTGTCACTAGATCATGTGAGTGTCTGTGCAGCTTGGGTCCTTGGTGCTTGGTTGTGATAAAAGCACTCTCAGCAGTAAAGTAGGTGAATCTGTCTACTAAAAATACCTCTTAAGTTGGTGTCTGGAGCCAAAGAATTGAAGATCTTTTAACTGAAGTTGATTATATGCTTGTATACACTTGGAGCACTTTATAGTCTTAGATTAAAAATGAAGCAGTGTTCTGGAGGATGTTCAAACAGAATTGTTGCCAAATTTGGACTGAGAGAAGTTGCTCAAATCGGTGCAACTGGGCATGAACCCTCCTCTATCTGACAAGCAGCATGCAAGATGCAGATCCTTTGAATGTGGAAGTTGCCGAGGCTGATTGTATCTTGACCTGTTAATTTGCTGTTAACCAGGTAGATACAGGAATAAGCACTAGTTTATACTGGGTTTTATAGTATCACTGACAGAACTGCACAGTATTAGTATTACGTGCACTCCTGATCTGTTTGTGCTCTTTTTTTAAATTTCACACTGCTTCAGAATACTTGCTCTCTGTATTGATTGACATAGTGCCTTTATTACAGTGTAACTTTTTAACCTCTGTCGAGATTAAGGATACATCTGTTTCCTGATTTGGCTCAATCAGCTCAAGCTTGACAAGAAACTTTCAGTTTTGAAACCTAAAGAAAAAAAACTGACTGTGTTCTGGTAAAATAGAAGTTTATTTTTCAAGTTATTAAATATCTACTTAAATTCCAGCAATGTGGAGAGAAACTTTTAAATATGAAAACTCCATTTTGCAAAACATACAGGTGACATTACTGTTTCTTTTTTATAAAAGTACATACGCTTCTCAGATTATTGTAAATCTTTAAATGTGGTATCTTTGTGATCTTCAATCTTTGTTGACTTTCTCTACATCAGTATTGATGCTAACTGTAAGTAGTAATGCATTTGTAAGGAAGTTATTCATTTATAAGGAAGATATAGGAACTACATTTAAAAAAAAAAGATGAAATCCTGATCTTTAAAACCATAACTGAATAATCTATAATCTTATAAATCTGTTAGTCTGTCTTGCATCAGGAGTTATGCAGCTTTGAAATACTGAAGTATTCCAGGTCAACACTTGGCAGCTTATTTTGCTGAGTTGTTATAGTTGAATTCTTGTGGTGCTATTAGTACTTCATTATTCTAGAAAGTACAATGAGAGTCTTGTTACTGTGGGTTTTTTTTTTTTTTAGTCTCTAGGCACAATGTTCCTACCACTTAAAATTAATTAGATTCCAATGCAGAAAAATATAGGAATTCATTAGTAGGAATTAAATGACTGTAAGAATTTAAAAGTGCATAGGTATTAATTCCTTATTTTAAACTAATCCTTGTGTATCTTCTGGAGTTATAGATGTTTAATTCAATACTTGGTTTGTCAAAACTATTGGTTAAGGGAGTTATGTTTCTTTCCATGATCCATGGAAATAATTCCATCTGAATTTTCTGACACAATACTTCATTTTTTTTCCTAGTCGTGTCCCTCATCAATAAAAGTTGTTCAGCTGTGCTTTTAGATGCATCTTTTTCCTAGTTGACTGGTTCAGATGAGCTAATGCTAGAGCAGGAAGATATTGCAGAAGACTGTTTTTAGGATTGGAAGTTTACAAACACTTAAAGATGTCAAATTATTTTGTTTTCTCAAAGCTTTGTCAGTGATAAAAATGAAATACCAATCTAACCTTTGGATGTAGCTCTTCTGAAGTCCTGCCTTTTTTTTTTTTTTTCAGGTTTTCCTCTTAAATTAGTTTTTTTTCTGATAGGTGCACAGAACACTCTACAGATTATTTTGAGCATATTTGTTTCTATGTCCTTTGAGTAATATCTACAAAATATGCACACTTGACTGATTTGTATTATTATTATTTCCCCCTCAATACTTTCAGCATTTGATGCTGTCTGGTTTCACTGTAGCTCGTAGAATAATCCACCATTGCAAAAGCTTTTTGGGACAGGGACCGCACCTTCCAAACTGTCCTTTAGGTAGGAAGTTAGTGATGGAGATTTACTAGCATGGTTCTGTCCTCAGTTCTAAATGTAATTTTATTATAAGCTCCATATTTTCACTTGCTAATTTGTACACATCTGAGGGAGATTTTTTTTTAGAAATATTTTTTGCTTAATTTCAAATGCTTGAGTGTTTGGACAGCGTAGGCTTTGAAAGTACATATGAATATTTGGTCTCCAACAGCAGAACCAGAAATTCGAGTATAATGCATCTTCTGCCCTACTGATGTGAGGATGCTCTTCCTCCAGTCTCACTCACGATGGGTGTGATTCTGTCTCAGGTATATACTTCAGTAGAATAAATGGAATTGCATAGCTGGCTAAGGTGGCAGGCTTAGACTTTATAACCTTTATTTTGTCATCAAAAAAAGTGCAGTGAGATAGCTTCCTCTGAATGTGTTTTGGATTGCCGCTGAGCTTTTTTTAGCTCGTAGAGGCCGGCTCTCCCTCAGAGACCATGTAGGTATGAGAAAAAGCTGTGTTTAACTATTGGCTGAATCTGCCTAAGATTCAGCAGGCAAACATGCTGGAGTGAAGATACATTTCAGGAAGATACTTGAATGCATGTTTTTTTCAATTAAAAATAAATCCTCAGGCTCTGCAGCTGGACAAAGCACTTTGCTGAACAAAAATTGCAAAACTAACATTTTACTGTAGGCTTGCAGTTTTGTTTACAAATTCTTAACTCCTTTTTTGGGTGCATTCTCTTAACTTGAAAAGATAGCTATGTTTAATAAGCTTGTCAAAGAAAGTAGTGCAGTGTTTCTTTGGCCAACAAAAGGCAGGAATCCAAACAGTAGCAGTGTTGGGAAACACTGTTCTCCGAAAGTTGGGTGCATCCCTTCTTTTATACCCTTTTCCTTTGTCCGCTTTGACACAGCTTGGCCAGTATGGCAGAGCTGATCCAGGATGTTCAATGCCAAAAATGGGAAAGGAGACATGAACTTGTTAACGCTATGTGTGCCGTTTCTCTCTGTGTGTGTACAGGTCCTGTTAAATCCAACTGCTCCTTAGAAATTGTAGGCACAGTTTCTGTACTGAAAGCTTGTGAAACTGTTTCAGGTTTAAATGTGCTTTTTTACTCGGGAGACGGGGTATGTATGTTCTTCCTGCAGCATGTTTCTGACCCTTGTTATTTTTATTTTGCATCCTATATAAGCATCCAAGTTTTGCCTCCGGTACCTTACTCTTGATCCTGGCTGAGCTGGGAGACTCTTATTGTGCCCAAAAGACAAATGAGCCATTGACCTGCCATCTGGGAGCTAGGAATTCATAACAGCCGTGGATGAGGGGGCCTCGCTTTGCTGGGGGTTGATTATGTGGCAGAAATAATGTGCTTGGTCATGGATTTGGGGGGGATGGAGGGGTTGCCAAACACATGGCGCCGAGAGCACCTCCTGCCGTCTGGTCTGATCACCACCACGCCGCGGGGGCCCTGGGGGAGGTCCCGCTCCTCTCCCATCTGGCGGCCGGTTTCCTGACAGCGGCTGACAGCCGGGAAGGGAAAGGCACGCGATGCCGTAGTGCGGCTGAATTGGCTGAGACCGGGGTGACGGGGTTTCTGCTTATGGTGGGGGGGGATGCAGAAAGCATCATGGAGGAAGTGGTGGACTGCGAGCAGAGCCTTTGTTCTGGATATTGTTTTTAGTTTTCTGATACTGCGAGATTGAGTGCCATCCTGTGGCACCCGTCTTGTATTGCTAGCAATCAGCATGCGTGACCATGTTGCTTGCTTAAGCCATGCTAAAAACGGTTCCTCCTGTTATCCTGTTAGATTGGCTGAAGGTTCTCAGATGAAGTCATCATGTAGGTTTTGGTCAAATATATGTAACTTGAAAAAAACCCCTTCAAAATACTTGGTATAAATTGTTCTTAATAAAGCTTTTTTTTCCGCCCGCCATGAGGGAAAACTCTTGTTTAGAAGTCTCCTGCTTTTTACGTTCAGTGCTGTCAGTTAACCTCCCTTCTGAACTGCAACATAAGGTCTTAGCCAGAAGAAATCTGCTTGTCCTTTGAGGAAAGGAAACATACTTATTGCAGATTAATATGAAATTTCTTTTGACTGTCAAAATCAAATTTGTAGTCAACATAATCACGTGTTAGTGCTTTATGGTCTGGGATGGGATTGAGCTATCTAATCCAAATCAAGATATTGCTATGTTGAATTTAGTTCAAACACCTGCTGCATGTAGCTGTCCTGTGTTTGTCTGCTCTGCTTAAGCACTCGCGTGCTTTTTGTATTAAAGTCCATATTAGTCTGTATACAGTTTGTGTTAAAGGTGCTTTGTGCTGGCCTGCCAAACCCTGCGGTCTTAGACATGCTGTAAATGTGAAGGAAAGGATGGGCCCTGTCTGAAAGCTTGTCCTAGAACTCCTGTGTCATCTTCCAGTAATGTTGGAAGACTCTTTATAAGGTCAAAAGGATATAATGTATGGTAGGGGAGAGCCAACTCTTTGTATTTTGCCCAAAAAAGAAGCAGCAGAATTTCAGGGTACCTCATAACTATATACCAAAAGGAGAACAGCATAGTTTCTTACTAGTTAACAAGTGTGATTTTTTTTTTCTTGAGTAGTTACTTCCTGACAGTCCCTTGGAAAAAGCAGGGAAAATAATGGAGTTAGAGAAACAAACACATCAGGCAATGAGCTGTAATCTTGCAAGTGCATTTCTATGTGCTTGCTTCTGTGAGTGTAAAGTTAATCAAGTAACTAGTTCCAGCAACGCTCTGATGACTGAAATATGGACAGTAGCTTGAATACACACTTACATTAGTGTAAGTGATAGGAAAGGGCTGAACTGTGTTTATCAGCTTCTGAAATACTAACAAAGGAGAAGATTTTTTTTTTTTCTCATGGTTAGCCCAGAACACAGGTGTGTAATAGGAGGCCAGAGGACTTGCTTTGGGTACAGGAGTACGAGGGATGTAGTCTTCTGTTTCCCTTATCAGATGTAGTCAAAATGTGACTTTTGTTAACTTTTTTTTTTTTGGTTGATGCTGTGATCAAATTACAAACGAGGAAGGATGGAGCGGTATATATGGTGTATCTTTTAATCTAAACTTAGTTTTGTGTTACTTCGTTCTTGAGTAGAACTCAACCTGTCTCTATTTCTTTTCAGACACAAAAGCCCTGTTTAAATTAATACCAAGATGATGCAATTTTTTTTTTTCTTTTAAAGCTTGGTAAAATGCGGCTAACTATACCGTGTAGGGCCCTGACTTGTTCACACCTGCAATGTTTTGATGCCACTTTGTATATTCAAATGAATGAAAAGAAACCAACTTGGGTTTGCCCTGTCTGTGACAAGAAGGCTCCCTATGAGCATCTTATTATTGATGGGTAAGTAATGTTTGAATCAAATGATGGACATTATTTACACTTTCTGCTTACTGTTTTTGTGCAGTAGAAAATACAGAACGTACCTCTAAAATCTTGATTATCTGGATATGAGATGTTTTGTTGACAGAAAAACTCCTAATCCAGGTGCATGTTCATTCAGTAGTCTAGAAGGATTGTGGTGGTCTCCAGTTGTTGAAGTTAATAATAATTAAAGGTATTCCTTCTAATCCCAGGTAAACTTTCGTGCTATCTTCCCTAAAATAGTTTTCTTAGGGGGAAGAGGGAACGTTTTCTCCCCACCTCCCCCACCCTGAGAACTACTGCACAAATCGGATGTAGTTTATAGCAGATGCTTGTGTTAGATCAAATAAATACTGCTATCCCTCAGATGCGTTTTGAATTTCATGTACGATTTCACACTTGGGGAGTCGCTATATATAGGAAGCGACAGAGAGATTGATTCCCTGGTACTGCCTACCTGCAGAACATTTAAAAAGCTAGTATTGGTCTCTATGAAGAAATGCCAAGTATGAATTCCTGGATTTACATTTTACTTTCTTAGATAGGAACCTTCGTTCCAAAACTTGATAAAGGAGGAGAACAAGTAGAGAATGTTTTACTCAAAAAGCCAGAATGCCAAAAACACCCCACTCCCCATAAATCATCAAGCCTTTTTTTTTTTTAATGAATATGCGCTTCATTTTCGTGACCTGCCAGTGAAGCATAAGATTTTTGTTGGAATTCTCTTTAATCTCCTGTGAAAAGCTCTTGCGGAGACGCTCAGGGGTTACACAGGCTACTTTAGATTCATGGACCCCTAGATTTACAAGTCCTCTGCTTGGGATCAAAGAACAATGGAGTTGCTTGTTTGAGGTGTCAGTCAATAATAGTAAAGACTAACATTGGTAATAGTCAAAACAATGTATTGTTCTTATTTCTTCTTGTGTTGCCAGGTGTGACTATCAGAGATTAGGTGATAAAATTAAAGCATTCCATAGAGAAAGTTATTTTTAGAAAATCTTTCAATCTGTGAAAGAGTGAGCTTTCTCACTAATTTAAAGCTCTATTCATGTGGTTCTGTGCAGGAAAGTCTTGGTCAAAAGCTGCAGTTCTCACTGGGAGTGATGTGGTGCCAGGATCTTAGAAGTCTTAGGAGAAACGGCTAGGAGGAGAGGCTGTGAGTTTAGGTTGCCATACGTGGCTTTTATTAGGAAGTTTTTATTTAAAAAAAGGGAGACAAGAGAGAGAGATTTCAGGAATTACTTGTCTTGGTATACTCAAATGTATTGACCCCTTTAGAATATGGGCTTCCTTCTTCAGTTAAATATTGTCAGATAAACGTGGGTAAATAAGGGATTTTTCGTGTTCGTTGTTCATTCGTTTTGGGAAGTGGGACGTTTTGTGTCATAAGATCCAGATGATTCCACATCTGTACCTCTTTTAAGTGAATATGCAGGTTTTTATTTTAGATAACATTTACATTTTTCAGTGACCCTTGGTATTAAGGGAACAGATGAGGAGGGGGAGTATAGCAAAACTTCTCACTTGAGTCTTTTTCAGCGCTGTAGTTTAAACTTACATTGACTAATAGTAAAGATATTGGAAAAATGAGTTGAGGTTTTTCTGAGGACTGATGCTAAAGATTTTTGGTTGACAGATTGTTCATGGAAATCCTGAAGTATTGTACAGATTGTGATGAAATTCAGTTTAAGGAGGATGGATCGTGGGCACCTATGAGATCAAAAAAGGAAGTGCAGGAAGTAACTACATCTTACAATGGAGTTGATGGTAAGTGCATGTTTTGGACTGAATGTTATGCTATTGAACTGTTTTAAGTATTGAGATTCCTTTAACTCTGATGCAAGATGCTCATTTTTGCATGTTGCTTTTTGTAGCTTTTGATCAGTTCTTTTTTATACAAGAGAGAGAGTTTGAGCAATGCCTGTTTGGGGTTTATTGTGCTTTTAAGGTTATTAGCAATGTTATGTAATGTTGTTGTCTTTTGTTCTGAATTATAAGCTTTGTTTATGAAGGCATATAGTAAGCTGTGATGTTATGATGATTCTAGTGTTGTATGCTATAGCTTATAATGTTGACTTACTTTATATAGGATGCATAAGCTCTTCCTTGGAACATCAGGTGTCTTCTCACCAACAATCCAATAAAAATAAGAAAGTAGAAGTGATTGATTTAACCATAGATAGCTCATCAGATGAAGAGGAAGAGGAACCATCTGCAAAGAGAAGCTGTCCTTCCATATCTCCAGCATCACCGTTAAATAATAAGGGGTGAGGAAAAAAAACCACACAATCCAATGCAGAGAGAATATATTCACAAGGGAGAGTACTGATAAATTTCAAAAGAAATTGTATCTGGGAAGTTCTGTGTTCAGAGTACATCGCAATATAGTATGGGTTATAGCAAACGGGTTTGATCTCAGCTTGCAAGGCACGAAAAGGTGGAATACAAAAATATGTTACATAATATATAAAATGTATACAACATGTAGAGAAAGCTGACTATGTTTTTATTGCTTTTCAAAAGTGACTTTTGGGGTTGTTGAATGTGTAATACTATATAAACAGTTTTGTAAGTGGGTTTTGTGAAAAGAAGTACAAAGCGATGCCAGAAGTGGTATCTTTTTGTGTATTTTTGTGGATTTGGAAATGTTTTTCTTCCACAGAGAAATACAGAAACAGCATATAGGAAGGGAGAGTGATGAGAAACATACTTGGGTGTGGTGTGGGAGTGCAGGAGTTTTGCCAGTAGCATAGTAATAAGAATGCCAGAATAACCTGATTGCACATAAGTAGCCAAGCTGTTAATAGCACACTGTTTACATAAACATGCAGGGATGAAAACTGAGGCTAAACCAAGGGGATCCTCTTGTTGAACTGATTACTACTCTGGTGATGTAAACTACTCAGTGATCACTTGAAACTCTTCAAGACCTTTCTGGCTGTCTTACGTTGCTGATTGTGTTGTAGAGCATGTGGAAATAACTGTTGTAGTGTTCTGTGGATTTTTAACTATTTTTTGTATAAAACTCCTTCAGGATTGTCTTGTCCTCGCTTAAGAGTGTTTGTAGTGTAATTGTAGCAGAGATCCCAATACCATTTATACTGAGAGCCATCAGTTTCTATTGTTTGGGATGGTTTTCTTTTTCTTTGCTTATAATTTTGCTAAACTTTAACTGTTTGGGCTGACATCTTCTGTGCAGCACTGTCGCAGACTGAGTCACTTAACTTTTGTGATAAAATGTCGTGAGGACAAAGCTTAGGAAACACGATGCTCATTGCTCTCTTTGGTCTCTACAATGCTCTCTGAGGTGCTGTAGCATCTTGATGCTTTCTAGTGAAGCTTTGAAATTTAGTAGGGGAGTGGTTTTGCACCTGTCACGTAGTTCATCTTGTGTATGGGGAGGATGACTTTGTGTTAAATTTGACAAATGGGCATACCCTCCATGGGCCAGTAACAGTGAATCTTCAAATGCTGTTTTTCGGCATTAAAGCCAAGACTGTTTTTTATGCTTGTAACAAATGGTTGTTTCTTCCAGCATTCTAAATTTACCCCATCAAGCATCTCCTGTGTCAAGAACACCAAGTCTTCCTGCTGTCGATACAAGCTACATCAATACATCACTTATCCAAGACTACAGGCATCCATTCCATATGACGCCTATGCCTTACGACTTGCAAGGTAAACTTCTGGCTGTTCTTTTTTGTAAGCACTGCTCCCTGCACAATAGTGACTACTACAAAAGGATTTAAATGTGCAACTCTTTGACAATGCAGCAATGCAAAGTGTTGTTTGATATACACAGAAGCTAAGATCGTGATTTAAAAAAAAAAAAGTTTAACTCAGTGTCTTAGTGTTTTAAAAGGTTGTTCTCTCTTGCAAGGGAGAGAATCCAGCAAGTGAAGAGAATCTGAAGTGTCATCAGAATTATGCTGGTTAAATTGATTTTTATTGCAAAATAAATGGTGGAAAAATGGGGAGGTGCTTGTTTGTTTTGAAAGTTTAACTTTTTCCTTTGGCTCTTTACAGGATTAGACTTCTTCCCTTTCCTGTCAGGAGACAATCAGGTAAGTTGAGGAAAATCAAATCATAGGGCAGAAATTCTTTTTTGAGAAAGACTTAATGGCTTGGATGTATAGGCGAGGAAGGAATGGACCTATGATAAAGGTGTAAATGCAGGCTGCAGCTTTATTTCGTGCACATAGAAACTGTGACCCAACGTGCAGATCATCTAAATATGGGTGTAGGATGAGGGCATAACAGAAGATAAACACTTTATTTCCCAGGGTTGGACTCAGTCAGCTGTTGCCTTGCAAAGGGGAGCAACCCTTTGCCATAGCTGAAGGTCCACCAGCCAGCTCCTTAGTTTTTCAGACCTGAGCTCTGACCTTTGGTCATCTGACAGCGCTGGGCCCCACCACTGGGACTCTTTCTAGTCCTCTTGACAATTCTGAGAGTCAGAGGCAGCTCTCTGTTTTTTCTGAGGCTGCAAAGAAGATGAAAACTTGGTCCTGGCCAGTCTGGTTTCCCAGCAGAGTTTCTTCTTGGCCTCAGTAAGTGCCTGTTCATACCATGCTTCTCACCTTTTTGTAAGTGATTACTGAAGTGGGCCAGTTTGGTAGGTACTGGCTTCTCCAGTTTTGGGAACTGCACAGGTCATTCTCAAAGGGAATCTAGGTTGTTAAGCTCTCCCACTTGATCGCTTTTCCTCCTGTGCCTCTGAGGAGAGAAGGGGACTGGGATGGCTTGCATGCCCTTTGTCCATTCGTGTGCGTTCCTCAGTCTCAAGTAGGAGAACTGCACTGACTGCAGAGGGATACTCTCAGGTGACAGTTAAGACCAGAGTCTCTGTGGTAGAATTTGGGTTGAGAAAAGCTATCTTGATATTCAGTAAGTCATAAGCATGGAAATTATTCTGAAGCAAGTAATGTAGAAGTCTGATGCTGCACTGATATAGCATAATTATACCGATGCATATACATCAGAGAACCAGGCTGAGTAGCCTGCATGGATGTCTCACGATAGTGGACAGAAATGATATCAAAACGAAACTGCAGAGACAAATCTGGTTCTTGGTAGCTAAAGTACTTGCCTTTTGGGGCTGTCCTTCAAAGAGTATAACTTGGAACAGCCCTTGCTTGTCCCTGATGGGACTAAGCATGCTATTTCTAAATGCGTTTTTCACAGAAGTGTGCTTTCCTTCACCAACAGTGATGAGCACATAGTTTCACCAGCTGTGGTTGTCTGTGACTTTTGAGCGGAGGAGAGGGATGAGAAAATGTTTCTTTGAATTTTGGGGAATTTTTCCACGAAGGAATTTTTTTGAAGAGGTAAAAAAGTGCTGCTGCTTACTGTTTCTTGGCGTTTGGGTGTCTTGCAATATTGTTGCTTTTCTAGTGTTTGCTCTTACTAATACCAATATTTCCAGTTTCTTTTGGCTTCAGAAATCAGGGGCTGCAGAGGTAAAAGTTCACTACATCGATCCTCTTACTTTACAGAAAGGTTGAGTAGACAAGCTGGTGTGAACTCCAGAAGCTGACAGAGCTTTAGTTTACAAATATATTTTTGTGCTGGTCTGAAGAAAAACTATGGTGTCTGAAATGTAACTTGAAAATGTTGTTTTTCCCCCCCCAGCATTACAACACCTCCCTTCTTGCTGCTGCAGCTGCGGCAGTTTCTGCATCAGATGATCAAGAACTCTTACACTCTCGTTTTTTCCCATACACTTCATCTCAGATGTTTCTCGATCAGCTAAATGCAGGAGGAAGCAGTACCCTGCCAGCCACAAATGGTAGCAATAGTGGCAGTAACAGCAGTCTTGTTTCCTCCAACAGCCTGCGAGAGAATCATGGTCATCCAGTTGCAAGTAGAAGCAGCACGGACACGGCGTCTATCTTTGGTATCATACCAGACATTATTTCATTGGACTGATTTCTGGAGTAAACGAACTTGTCAGAGAAGATCTTTGTGCTTGGTTTTACCTTATTATGTTTAGAAACATAGACAAGTTTTTTTTCCTTTTTTAGGGAAAAAAATTTACGTGTACAGAGAACAAAACTATATTTTCAGTTTTACTTTTGTATATAAACCTAAGATGGCCTCACTGGTAAAAATAACAAAAAAAAATCACAAAACAAAAAATAACAAAAACAAAAAAGGAACTTCAGTTCACTTTTATGGACGCTGAAGATTTTACACCTGTGCATTTGTCATGTGAGTTACTTTTCTTTTCTTTTCTTTTTTCTCCCCCCCCCCTTTCCTTAGTGTGGACACAAATGGCATTATTTTCTTCACAGTGTAACATAAATGGGAAAGGAACTGAACTTTTAAAGTTCTAAGTTGTAGGAGGTTTTTTTCTCCTCTTGGAGACATTTACCTTTGGTGGTGGAATTTAATTCCCCCATCCCATTTTTAGTGCAGATTTTCTTATGCTTAAAGTGGAATAAACCTTACCCACTGTTCCCCAGCATTCCCTCTGCTTGCAGGACATAGCCTTTCAGGAGTGATTTTTTTCTTTTTTTTTTCTTTTTTTTTTGAATTCCATGCTTTAATCAAGCATGTTGTAAACTCATTAGTGCACCAATTATTCTTGCGGGCCAGACTCAATAAAATCTCAGGCTGAGCAATTGTTTGGCTGCACTTAGCGGGACAAGAGAGAATTTTTATAGAATCTAGCCCCAAATAAAAGCATTGACACGTTTGACTGTAGGTTTTTGTTTCTAGTAACTTACTATGAAATCCTATTAAAATAACTTAGGATCCTAATCAGCAAAATATTAAGCATGTGTCAATTTTAAATCTGTGGAACTGCTTGTGCTTTAAAGTTAGCCATGCGTAGATAAGTGGCCTATTGAATTGAGGCCTACCTTATTCTGTCTGGAGAAACCTACTTTTAGTTGCAGTAGATCAAATTTCTGCTTAAAAATGAACTTGTCAACAAAAGGAAGAAAATATGAATACCAACGCACTATTGCATGGTTTGTGCAGCTGATATTGGTCTTGGTACGCCATCTTCTGACTTCACGTTCATCAAAGCTAAGTTAATATTAAGTGTTCAATGTGAGTCTCTTAAACCAAAACCAACCCAATAAAAAAACCCTAGCAGAGCCCTTGCACTGAGATGAATCTCTATGTACTGAAGTCTCTTAGGGTAATGGGTTTCAAATCCAGTTTCCTCTTTTTGGTCTTCTAATTATTTTGATTGATTTTTCCTGTTTTTCAGTATGCTTATGTTGAACTTAGAGCCATACTTGCTCCCTGGTGTTCTCTCTCTCTCTCTCTCTCTCTCTCTCTCTCTCTCTCTCTCTCTCTTTTTTTTTTTTTTTTTTCAATACATAGGAAAAAATTTTTTTTTTTTTTTTTTTTTTTTAATAGAACTGGTGGGTCATTTGGGCTGATCCGTTCTTGTTAAAGAGTGAAATGTGTAAATAGCTGGAATGCATTTTTTCAGGAGATTCTTTAAAGTAAGAGTAGAGGGAGGGAAGGAAGTGATTCTCTTGTGTCCCAAAGTCCATGTCAGAGAGTAAATATTTCCTCTGGTGTGAAAAATATTTTTTTAACTGGTTGAAAGTGCAGGTAACAAGTTTATCAGGAAAGATAGTAAGGAATACAAAAATTAGCAGATTCTTGTCTGAATATCTAATGTCCAAACTATTGATTGCAGCTAGTAGCTTTGAGCATTGACAAGGGCCACCTTTTGCCTATGAAGTTGTCTCGAAATCTTGCATTGATTTAAAAAAAAAGAAAAAAAAGAACAAAAGAAAAAAAAACTTTATCCAAGTAGCATTAGGTATTGCTGTATGATCAGTTGTATGGTTATTTGAAAGGTTCACATGAATATGTGGCATCAAAATTGTTTTTAGTGTTTTTACAGCATCACTCTGCCACTAAATAGTTGACTTGAATTTTGAAAACAAATGTTTGTGTTTATATGTATATGTGTGTGTATATATGTATTTATAGATCTGTGTGTGTGAGTTAAAAGTGAGTTAAATAGTTTTTCCCATGCATGTGTATTTCATACATATATGGCTGATATATATATATATATATATATTTCACCATACACCAATTTTATAATTTATTAAATGTCAGTTAAAAAAAATAAATAAAAGGATAGAAAATGGGAAATACTTATTTTTTAAACTCAGTCTGATTTTGAAGTGATTAAGCCTACATTAGGAATATATCTCATACATTTTAGTCATGAATGCTAACTGGGTAACTTCAGAGCATACGCTTGTAAATCCGTTTGTAAATCTGGAGTAACTTTGCTTCTCCCAGATTGCCGTCAGTGTACCTGGGAGCATGCGTGTCCCCAGCTTCTGAAACGCTTCGGAGAGAAATTCTGGAGAGCTTGTGGCTATTTTACCAACGATTGTGGCAACCTTTCCATTGACCGTATTGTTAAAGATGAGCTGAAAAGCTGTTTGTGTCAGTTTTGACAGTGGTATTAAAATCTTATTAGTTCACATATGAAATTAAATATAGCAAGTGAGTGGTAACAGAAAATCTGGCATCCTTTACACGTCTTTAGCTTTTGGAAAGTGAGGTCAACTGATGATGTCTCCCGCTTCCTCACAAGTGACCCTGAAGGGAAGGAAGGCTTTTCAGTTCACCTTTGTTATTTTTTAACCTCGTTGCCCTACAAAGAAGGGACGGAAATGCTCCTAGATCCTCCTTTGTGGTATTAATTCCATATGCTTTGTGAGTATTCATATTTCATACTAAGATGTTCTTTATAGTTGATAACTCTCTGTGCCTCTGACCACAGTTAACGTTACCTGGTAGAAGTCTCAGTCTGAGTTCGCTGGAAGTTCCCTGCAAATGTAAATCCAAAACTAAATCTCTGTTTGTTTGCATATTATTCAAGATGCAGTACAGTAATCCGGTGTTTGGCTGGCTTGCAGTCCTGCTAAATTCTCTGTAGATTACAAACTTTATGTAATCCTTAGACTAGGGGTTAACCTTTCTTGTCCTCAAATTCTTCCACTGGAGGGGGTGGGTGTGTGTGTGCACGTGTGTCTCTGTATTATGTATAGTACTGTATGTGTGTATGTATATATACACACAAATATGAGTAAATAGCTGTTGTTTGCATAGCAGGGTGGAAGTGGCTTTGAATCACTCTTGTGGGCATTATTGGTGCATCTTTTAAAAGAAGAAAAACCATGCTAAACTATAACCTATACTGTGCATTACAAACTTTGTAGTACTTCCATAATTATAGACATGATAGCAATTCCAGGCGTGCCCATTCCTCTCCGTGGCAAGGGTTCAATAAGCCTTTCAAGGATGGGATGACTGATAGATTTTCATTGAACTGTCTTGGAACTGCCTCCTAATGCAGAGCTAAGGACTGTGAGGAGAACATCTTGAAAATTAAGTCTTCGTTGCAGTTTAACATTTCAGGGTTTTAAGCACATTTTAAATATATCCAGAAAGGATTTTGTTTTATCTGTGTAACTGTTTCTTTCTCTCTCTCTCTTTTTTTTTTTTTTTTTTTTTTAACAGAGCTTAGATTTCTAACAAGGGAAAATTGCTGGTGGTCCCCGAAAGTGCTGCTGTTAATTGTTTTAATTAACAAAGGGAAAATGTATATAAGCAGAATATTAAAATTACCATTAATTCCATGAATTTAAATCTGTCATTCATTGCCTTAAAACTTTCTCTTAGTTTCCATATGGCATGCCAAACCCATAAATGGCTTTTAAAAATGTATAGTAGACCAATGTCAGTTTGTATAAAAGTACCAAGTGAAAATATTTATTATATGCATTGGAAAAAATGGTTTACCTATTGAATGTTACTTGTTTATGTAGAAATCTTTAGATGTAATAAAAAGCATTCAGTTATGTTGTGTTTTCTAAAAAAAAAAAAAAAAAAAAAAAAAAAGTGGGGGGGGAAGGGTTCTGTGAACTGAGAGTTGCAAGGGACCCTTTTGAGCGGGAATGCTTTGCTGCCAAATGTTTTGCAGCATGGAGTGTTTCACACTTGTGCCTCTAAGCTCTAACAATGATGCTTTGTTTTGTGAGTATGTGAAGTGTACTGTTCCTTTTGCTAGTTTTTATTTGGGTAATGTTTACCCAACCAGAGCGGGTAGTAACAGCCGGTTATGATACAGATGCATTCTGGAGTAGTCCAAAGTGATTTTGAGCTGATCAATCCCCATGACGTACAAGCTTTTATGTTGTCTGCAGCTGAAAGGATTTGTTAATCAACTGCTCTGGTCAGTGGGGAAGAATTAAACTGTGTATTGGATCATTTGTAATATGGCTATTGATGCCTATTGGAAACAAATGTTTCTAAATTAACTCCTTGTTTCATAAACTAATTGCACTCACTCTCAGAGCAACAGAAGTTTTTGCTCCCCTTCATCCCCAGGACTTGTATAGCTAAGGTCTGGAACAGCCTTTCAGCTCTGGTAGGCAGAAACCTTTCCACCTTCAAGCTGCAGGCATACCTCCACAAGGTGCTAGTGCACAAAGATCCTCCCTAAAGGCAAGGTGTGTTTTGTGGGTTTTTTTTTAATTTCTTTTTTCTTTTTTGTCCATAATGTTGAGATTAACTGTGAATAGTGGCAACAGAATGGCCAGGGAAATAGTATCTTTTGCTGCTAGTTGGAACCAGTTCTTGGTTTTCTAGTGAACCCTCTCTCTTTCACTGTATTCTGTTTTTCCTGGAGTGTTAGCTGAGTGTCAAACTGCTTGTAACTCTGCCTTCCAGAGAAACAAAGGATTTCCCTCCCCCAGAATAGGAAGAGCTAATGTAAGAAGTTGAGGGGTGCTGTAGATGTTATGCCACTCTTACATCTAGCAAAGTTCATTTCCCCTTGAATCGCAGTCCTTTGCTGTTCAGCAGACCTTTGTATAGATACTTGGTGTGTGAGGATTTGAGTTTGAGCTTATTGGGTTAGCTCAAAACTCATGTCTTGTGAGAGCTGCAGAAAGTTCAGCTTGGCTCCGAATCAAGGGAAGTTAGGCACAAAACTGCCACTTGTCTCAAGTCCTTCCATTCTTGCACAGCGTTCAGCAAGTCACATACCCTCTTGTACTTCTTTTCTCCTCATGTAATAATTTTCCATGAGAATAATACCCATTTCAGCTTCATAGAGATATCATTACTGATTTGGAAGGGTTAAAAAGATTTCCTGTACTATTATTTTCATTTTCTAACCAAGTTCATGTGCTGGTTAGTCATGGTTGTTTTCAAGTGTTGCAGCCATGTGTGATGGTGTTAGCAGAAACCCGAGTCTGCTGTGTTCGTGCTGTCACTGCATACCTCAGTGGGGGATAAACGTGCTGGGTTTGCTGTGTCTGTAATGATTTAATTGTTGGCCGTTTCACAAACAGAGCGAAGAGGGGTGAATTAGTTGCTTCAGGGATAAAGATTCAGAATTAATAAAAGGAGGGAGAGATCTGGATGGATGGGGAGAAGGATGGAGGAAAGGGGGCTCCCCTGGGTAGAAATAACAGTGGACCTGGCAGGAATGTGCGGTCTACTAATGCTCTTTAAGAGGTTGATGTTAGTTCTGTTGTTGTGCTAAGATGGTCTCTGAAAATTTCCATTTGCCAGCGGAGGAGATCGGCAGTATGTTGTCCTCAATTTTGCATGCCAGCGTGTGGACCTTAAGGAAGACTAGCATGCCATAGTTAGAATAAGGTTAAAACCTACTGTTTTGGGGCAGTTTGGTTTTAATCAGTTTAAAGTCAAGAGAGACAGCCTTTTTTCTGTTGCAAAGCAGCTGAATTTTCCCAGCCGCTGCTATTCCCTGCCTGGCTGTCTTTGGGAGCGTGTTCTGGGCAGATAGCCCAGTACCTGGTGACAGATGCATTTGCCAAGCGCTGCGTTTTTCAAAGTGTTGCCTCGGAGTTCAGTGGCAGCTTAACTACATGGAGACTGGACACTGCAGGATATTGCATCTTGCGAAATAAATAATGTGTCAAAGTAGAGATACAGAGAAAGCTTATTCCTCATCCTCTTTCATTCCTCCAACATATGAAACAGTGATCCGAGTTCCTATGCTTTGAGAGCAGGAGTTGTCCTTCCAGTTTACTCTAAACTCAGTCTTGGTGTAGTCGGAAAAATCCGGACTGCTTGTCTCCGGCCCCTCTGAGTAGTGAAAAGGATGTGGTCACCCTTCAAGTGGCGCTGGTATCTTGACAACTTTGCGACAGAGCCACATGTGATTGGGAGCTACGTTACAGGATCTGTATCAGAGATGCCAGCAATGCTGGAGACCTGTGCAGTTACGCTAAACTTGCCACCATCAGGACATAATCGAGCCTCCCGAGGAATTTTTTGACACACGAAGAACTGCACCCAGGCTCCGGTGTGTGGAAATAGCAAATGGTTATGATTTTTTGTTGACTTTTTGGAATGCAGTCACTGTGCAACATTAACTATAAGTCATAATTTATGCTGTGATCTGTGGACTTAAATGCACTTTTGAAAGAACAGTTGTTTTGTAAGTGTGACACGTTATACACAAGGGAATGCTACATTCAGTTTATTTAAATGACTGAGAGCTCACATTTTCTAAGTGGCAATGTTTTTCTGGAAGTGGGGTAGGAGTTTTCTGGAATGGGTTTGTGTAAGCTAAACTCAAGGCAGAGTATGGATTCTTAAAGGCAAATAGTGATTCCTGAGTCTAAACAGTGACTAGGAAAAGTTGAAATCAAAGTTTCAGGTCCTGTTGTCATCAGATCCCTCATCAGGTCTCTTGCTTTGAATTTTAGTAGTCGGCTGCAGGAAGACTAATGGTGCGGACAAATTCTTCATATTTTATTGTTCCATTTGGTCCAATTTTGGCTTCTTTTAGCAGGTCATCCACTGAAAGTAAGAGAGAAAATATAAAGATAATTTTGGTTTGACATGTATCAGGAGTGTTGTGATCTTTTAAGTAACAGTAGTATGAGATTTGGGTTTTCAAACTTCTATCAGGAGCTGTAACTTCCAGTTGGATGAACCACCCAGATCGCATTTTTAAACTAGCATCAATTAGCACTCTAATTTTGATTTCAACTTTAAACTCTAATGAAACAGTTTGGAGCAGAGATGGCCTCCCCTTTGACTGCTGGTAAGTGTAGTGCTGGTGAAGGTGCTGGAGTTAATGCTGATTGACAGATTGTACCCAAGGTCAGGTCGGTTTGCACTGTGACCCTAAGGATTCCAGCGTCCCTTTTAGCATAGGCAGGTCTTTGGTGTTTGAAAGCAAAGAATACCTTCTCAGCTGTGGCTCTTAAGGCTCTCGCTGAAATACACTTCTGAAGAAGTGGTAACTGTACAAATTGCCACGTGAGTGCAGCGATGCTTTTCATTCCAGCTTTGGGGATGCCTTGGCAGTGACATCACTCACCTAACTTAAAATGTTCTCTTCTGTACAGGCTAAGCTATTAAAATTCATAGTTTGGTATTTTCCCCTTCCCAAATAATAAATGTCAATAAAATAGAAGTACATAAGTAACACATGGAAAAGCAGTATTAACTGTTGCTGAATGAAGTTGCCACTGGGAATTAGGTGCCATATCCTGCACAGGAGAGGAGGAGGAGAATTCTCTTGCTTATTTACCCATCACATATAGCGGGGTGGGTGCTCAGACAAATCTAAGAGAATCCCAGGAGCTTGTGTTTGGTAGTGTTTTGGGTAACAATTCTTCCGATACGGTATCTAGTACAGTCCAGAAGAGTGTTTTTTGCTTGCATGCTTGCTAATGTTGGGTCCTGTGTGTCAGGTTTCACCGGTGTGGTGCCATTTTCGATGGTTTGGGCCAACTGCCTACGAACAATATCATGGCTGGAGAGAGGGCCAGGCTGGGCAGCCTGCCCTGCAAGGAAGCCCTTGGGTTGCGGACCTGCATTTATCATATGCTCAGTACTTTAGTGTTGTGCCTTCTAGGTGTTCAGAGCCCGTGAGCAGACTGAAACAGATGGATCTCAGGTGGCTATGAGGCCACCAACAGCACAGAGCTTCCTTGACAAGTGGGAATAACTGCAGGTCACACCTATCTGCAGACCAAAACAAGAGGCACAAAAAAATCTGAGAGGAATCCCATCCAATCCCCTGAATTAGACTCCTCTCCCATCTTCCACGTGCTAATTGAGTCCTCTGCATATCGCTCCTGTCCGGGCTGGAGCCACCTGGCCTTCCCGCGTGCTCTCCTCTGCCTGCCAGGAGAGCGACCCAACCCTGAAGCGTGTGAGGGCAGCTCTGTGGAGGCTGGCCTATGTTTTTACTAGCCAACAACTCGGCTGAGGTTGCCAGAACAGCTGTTCAGGCTGAAAGAGCCATGGGTGGTGTAAATAAGACTCCTAGTACCCATATTTGAGCACAAAATAACAGCTTTGCAGTTGCCAGTTGTGAAATCCTGGGGGAAGGTGGGGGAGGAGGAAGGGGAAAAATAAAAGGTTATTTTACTGTAAATAGTTCTGTATGGAAAGTCTCTATGGGCAGCATCACCTGCTTTCTCTCTGCTCTTGATAGGGTGTTGGCCAAGATACTGTTTTTCCCTCTGCACCTCTGTGTTTGCACACAGGTATCGGTATGTAAAAGAGGCAGCGCATCCCCGGTGGCCGCTGCTGCTGGAAGGACCTGGTTTCCGAGTGGGGTAAGGGAAGTGCTATGGTGAGAACGCCTTGCAGAGCTGCTGGGCCTGTAAGGTAAGTAACAATCCTTTGTTTTCAAGAGATCTAATCCTGCTTTCAAATGTGCATATCCTGATGGTAATCGTATACTTCCAAGGGCATAAATTCAAAAATAATTAATTCTTCCCAGAACAATTAAAAATATAACCCAGAAGAAAAATGTGTTGTTTCTCATTTGGTAAAAGTACATTAAATTAAAGTGAAGTGAAGGCTTTTCTGGAACCACCGTAAATGAAGGTACGTGCCAGTAGTTACTGAACAATCGCAGATGCTAATGAAATTGAGTCTGTTCTGGCATCAAATATTTATAGCAGCTTAGCAAGCTAGAGTTCATTGTGTCAAGCCAAAGGGGGACTTTCTAGTTGAGAAGAAACATGGCTTGCTGCCTTAGCATGTGCAGGGCCTGGTTATGAGTTGGTGTGTAAGCCACCTGTCCTCTTGCAGGATGATGGGGAATGTTGTCTCGCCCCCAAGCGTAATAGCAGTTCTTGCTAGGACGCCTTTAATTAGGGCTAATGTCTCCATGGCTTCACTATGTTTTCAGCTCTTACAATAGCTCTGCAAGTGTTTTCAGATGTAAATAGCTGTGCAAACTGTTACTCCAGTTAAATAGTTGAAAATGCTCAGATGACCTGCCTTATTGGTATATCACCCATAAAGAAGACTTAGCCAGTGGGGGCGATAGAGCAAGGCCTGGCAGTCCTGATCTCGTGTAAACGCTGATGTTAGCAAAGACAGTTCTTGTGCCCTTTTGGAGCCTAACGGGCTCTGTACAAACTCCAGAACCCTGGTAAAACTCACTGCTGGACCATATCAGACGTCTGATAAGTTTTACTAATGCTCCATCTTTGGCAGAGACCGAATGATTTCGAAGCTCCAAAGCCTCCGCTCTGCCACGTGGTAGAAGGGGCGAGAGCTCTGTGCGAACCTGCAAAGAGCCGAACGCAAAGTGTGTGGCTGAGGCGTTTCTGAGCAAGGAAGCGACAGGAGCCCTTAGCACATCTGGGCTTGATAGGGAATTGCGCGATCTGAGAAACGGCACGGCACGGCTGACTTCCCTCAGGTCTAGGCTCCCTGGCTCATCCTATGAAATCCTGAAAGTATAGCATGCATTTAAAAAACTGTTTATGTACGTATATAAACTGGCTAGGCCAAAATCGGGTTCTGATTATTTTCAGCTTCCTGGAAATTCCCTCCAATTGAGCCCCTTGGGCAAATTTCTGACAAACCGGACAGTGGTGGGTTTTTGAGGTGATGGTGGTGGTTGTGTTGTGTTTTTATTTTTTAATCCTGATTTTAAAAGTCCCACTCTGCCGCTTTCAAGCTGCTCTGCCACAGAGCTAACCACAGTGGTGTCCTTGGGAAGCTGCCAGTTCCCCTGTGTATTTCTTCAAGCATCTCTAGAGCTGAGGACACGGCCGCTTTCAGAAGGCCCTTCGTGCCATAGATACTTGGTAAAAATAGTGAGTCATCTCTGAGCAGAAAAAATGTCACTCGGGAAGCAACTCGAAAAAGGGAAAAGCTCTCTTAGTTACTTGGCAGCTGGCTTAGCCCTTCCCCAAGATGCTGCAGCCCTGAATTTTGCTAGCACGGATGATTTGCTTTTTCCCAGCTAGGTGCCTTTCTGCTCCCAGACCCACCTAAGGTGGAAAATCAGAGAAGAGAGAAGTAGAAGATGAGTATTTGGCACGTCTGCTGCGAAACTGTACCTTCTTCCTCGGAGAGCTTTTCTCCTAGTCTTGTAAGCTTGGCTCTCAGTTCTGAAACGGTGATAAACCCTTTCTTCTGCCTGTCTATCATGGACAAGGCCGTGAGGATTTCCTTTTCGGGTTCCTCCTGCTTCATTTGCCTGTACATTATATTCAGAAAAGTGGAAAAATCCAGTTCTGCGTTTCTGTCTGGAAAAGTAACAGCAGGTTCCTTATGGACGTGGCAGCATCGTAGTTTGGATCCTGCCCTCACCGTTCCCTGCTCCCCTCCACGGCTTCCCTCCCTGGGGCACCTCTTCCTTGTCTGCCCGGCACTGTTTGGACCAGAGGGGGTCTGTCTGGTTTCCGCCTCTCATTGAGGCCCTGCATTTAAGACCATTGTACTGTCCTGCCTGTTGCATGGCACCCTGTGGTACGTGCAAATCGGCCGGGTTTTCCTTTGAGGTTTGCAGACTGCTCTTGGCCTCTGCCTTGCCAGCGCTGCGGAGCGTCACTCTCCGCACTTGCAACGGAAGGAGCTTCTCCAGGTCATACCCTTGGGTGCCTGTGGCACTGCAGGATTAACAGAGCTGGTTGTTTAGGGTTCGTGGCAAACGGCAAGGGCAGCCAGAATTTAGAGCGAGCCCTCGTCTTGTCTGATGTGTATCAAAAGAATGAAAAATGGCCATCTAGCGTAGCTATGTGCATGGGCAGAACGGAGCAAGGGGCCGTGGAGTGACCAGACTGCATTTGAGGTCGCCCCTCGGGCTTTCTCCAGGCCTGAAAACTTGTCCAGAGCTTTGCTAGACTTGCGCTCTGCAAGCTCCGTTTCCCTCACCTTTAATCCAACGCGCCTTATCTCATGGTTCTTCTTCGATCTTTGTGCTCCACTTTGAGTACATTTATATGTATTTGCAGATTAATATCTTTCTGATCTCTTCTACCTCTGGTTGGACTGGACAGTGTCCCAGTCTCAGAAACTCATAATCTATACTGCATGGTTCCCTTGAGCAGCTGCAGGATGCCTCCCCGCGCCTGTCTTGAGGCTGCTTTTTTTTTTTTTGTTTGTTTGTTTTAACGGCGCTATTTTAAGCAATGTGCTTGACTGACTGTGTTCACCATCTTGCACGTTGGACCAGGTTTTGGTGGCTGCTCTTGGCTATGCTGTATTGCCTGGGCTTTTTCACCTGAGACCAAATCATCGATCTAGACTCTAGCCAGCATCATTTGCTTTGCACATAGACTCCCGACCACAGAAAAGTGGAGTTTTAACAAAAACCTGCCAAGGCCAAATAGCTGACTCTAGGTTGCTCATCCTCTTTGAAAAATTTAGACCCGCTTTCTGGGGCTAAGCTCCAACCATAACCCCATATGTTTCATTAATGCACTACAGCCGTGCTTTACTCACCGATTTTGTGCAAGTGAAGGTGTTTCTGGACCTCCCCTGGCGTTGGGCTGGCTCCCAGGCACCGCATCACAACGATCAGGTCAGTGGCTTTTATCTTGCCTTTTTGTTTCTTATCGTACAGGGAAAAACATTCCTTGAACTCTAATTAAAAGCCAAAACTGTGTGTTATGCCATGTAGTGGTTACGTTGCTCTACAAGTGACGCTTCTCCCACAATTGGCTGGTCAAACAGGGCTGGTAGGGTTCCAGCTGGGATATGGTGTCCCTCCGGGGGTGTCTTATTTCAGGAAAGATGATGGGCAGTGGGGGAGGACCCAGAGAAAGGACCAAGGGTAATTAGAAGTCTGGACCTGAGAATAACTGAGCTAATTGAGGTCTTTCAGTCTAACGAAGAAAGTCTGAAGGTGGAGCCAGGTTGTTCAAATACGTAAGACTTGAAAGTAATTTTCTCTGCCTTCATGATGGGTGGGACGTGATGTAACAGGCTTTAAGTTGCAATGAGGAAGACTTGGGGGTTTCTGTCCAGTGCCTGACCTAACCGTGAGGATGAACCGGGATGGACCGCCAGGGAGGAGCTAGCTCTGCTGGGCACCGCGTGGTGGAAAGGGGCTTGCCACCATGCACACCCCAGTTGGCGTCCCAAATGTGGGGTCTGTGCGTATGGGCACTGTCGGAGGAGGAGTAGAGTGGTGTATGGGAGCGTTTAAACTGGAGTTAAAGAGATTAGCTGTGCCCTGGCGGAGGGACTGGTCCGGTCACTGCCATCGTCCCGGCAGCGCCGGGCACTCGTCTCCGCCTGAGCCTGCTGCCGTGCAGATGCGCAGCTGGATTCTAATAAAAGACAGAAGAACTGAAAATCTAGCTTTGGTGGAGTCTGAGACTGCCAGCTGCGTGATTTTTGCAGATGAGCCTCGGCTGCTGCCTCCGCGGCCCCTTCTGGTGTTTGACTTTCACCCCTGTGCTCCTCCCTCGCCCCTGTGATCCCAGCCTGGCTCCTCGCCTTGCGCTCTCCCTGCTGGAATACCTACTTCACAGTTTTTAAATGAATAATTAAGGGTTGCGGCTGACCTAGATAACGCTGTAATCTCTCATCCTCCCTTCCCACTGAGCTCTCTGCAGGGGCCGGCTCCTCGCCTTGTGCTCGGTGCTAACCTGCAGGGTTGGCTGGACGGGGGTTCTCTGTCTGCAGAGCATCCTAGGAACGAAATAATCGGCCTTTCTTTGGTTTGATCACCTTCCTTCCCCCCTCGTCCATTTACTCTTGACCATGGGGCTGGATTCTCGCACTATGTCTGGAGGGAAGAAGAGATTCAGCAAGACTTGTGAGCCCTTACGGCAGGCACGAGCCGAACCGCCCTGTGCCGGGCGCTGCCTTTGCACGCCCACGGCATTGCACCGCGTGGCAAACACTCGCCACCCACAGTGTCAGCAAGGACCGACCGCTGCTGGACAGGAGACTTCCCTAAATATCCCTCCTCCTTCACCGAGTGCGTTACTGCACGGGGGAACGCGAGGGGCCCTAGTCGCGGGGGCGGAGGACGTGCGCTCGGCACTGCAGGGAAAAGGCATGCGCTATTCCAGAATAGCGTGCGTGCGTGTGAACGGTCTCGTCTCAAGGCAGGGCGAAGAAATGGATGACCTTTAGAAGTCCTTGGCCCTCCGTCCCACTGTTGATAGGAGCCAAGGTGGCCCGTGGCCACGGAGAGCCCAGCGGGGCCGGGCAGTCGGAGGCCCGCGAGCGAGTCCTTGCGCGGGAGCCGAGGTCTTGCCTGCTCTGGCCGCTCTGCGAGAGCGCGATACGCTCCGGGGAGCGCGGGGGTTATGCGTGACGCCGTGTCCCGGGCGCGCCAGCCTCGTCTCCCCAAACCCTTACTTATTTCC